GTTATTTTTAATCCATTTCAGCGATTGAGTGGGCTGGGAAAAAAAAAGGCCCTTTCCATGACAGCTAACACGCTTGAGCTTTAAAAATGTATGAAAGAATTTATTTTTAATCCATTTCAGCGATTGAGTGGACTGGGAAACATTTTCTTAGAGCTCAGGGGAAAAAAGGCTCTTTCCATGAGAACTAACACTCTTGAGGTTTAAAAATGTATGAAAGAATTTATTTTTAATCCATTTCAGCGATTGAGTCTGCTGGGAAACATTTTCTTAGAGCTCAGGGGAAAAAAAGGCTCTTTCCATGACAGCTAACACGCTTAAGCTTTAAAAATGTATGAAAGAATTTATTTTTAATCCATTTCAGCGATTGAGTCTGCTGGGAAACATTTTCTTAGAGCTCAGGGGAAAAAAGGCTCTTTCCATGACAGCTAACACGCTTAAGCTTTAAAAATGTATGAAAGAATTTATTTTTAATCCATTTCAGCGATTGAGTCTGCTGGGAAACATTTTCTTAGAGCTCAGGGGAAAAAAAAGGCTCTTTCCATGACAGCTAACACGCTTGAGCTTTAAAAATGTATGAAAGAATTTATTTTTAATCCATTTCAGCGATTGAGTCTGCTGGGAAACATTTTCTTAGAGCTCAGGGGAAAAAAAGGCTCTTTCCATGACAGCTAACACTCTTGAGCTTTAAAAATGTATGAAAGAATTTATTTTTAATCCATTTCAGCGATTGAGTGGGCTGGGAAACATTTTCTTAGAGCTCAGGGGAAAAAAAGGCTCTTTCCATGACAGCTAACACTCTTGAGGTTTAAAAATGTATGTATGAAAGAATTTATTTTTAATCCATTTCAGCGATTGAGTCTGCTGGGAAACATTTTCTCAGAGCTCAGGGGAAAAAAAAGGCTCTTTCCATGACAGCTAACACGCTTGAGCTTTAAAAATGTATGAAAGAATTTATTTTTAATCCATTTCAGCGATTGAGTCTGCTGGGAAACATTTTCTTAGAGCTCAGGGGAAAAAAAGGCTCTTTCCATGACAGCTAACACTCTTGAGGTTTAAAAATGTATGAAAGAATTTATTTTTAATCCATTTCAGCGATTGAGTGGGCTGGGAAACATTTTCTTAGAGCTCAGGGGAAAAAAAAAGGCTCTTTCCATGACAGCTAACACGCTTGAGCTTTAAAAATGTATGAAAGAATTTATTTTTAATCCATTTCAGCGATTGAGTCTGCTGGGAAACATTTTCTTAGAGCTCAGGGAAAAAAAAGGCTCTTTCCATGACAGCTAACACTCTTGAGCTTTAAAAATGTATGAAAGAATTTATTTTTAATCCATTTCAGCGATTGAGTCTGGCTGGGAAACATTTTCTTAGAGCTCAGGGAAAAAAAAAGGCTCTTTCCATGACAGCAACACTCTTGAGGTTTAAAAATGTATGAAAAATTTATTTTAATCCATTTCAGCGATTGAGTCTGACTAGGAAAATTTTCTTAGAGCTTCTGGAAAAAAAGGCTTTTCCATGACAGCTAACACTCTTGAGGTTTAAAAATGTATGACAAGAATTTCATTTTTAAAGCCATTTCAGCGATTCATGAAAGAACATCTTTTTTTCCTGGTTGTGGGATGGAGTAGAGTTGCTGCATCTTGAACAACCCACACTGATCTGAACAGAAACATGAAATGTTCTTATAGATATAAGAAATGAATTGAAAGTGAAAGTAAAAATGAAATTGTATTGGCTGGAAATATTTCTTGGCTGTTGAATGGGAAAAATATTTCCAGAGCTGAAAAAAAAAAAAAAAAAAAAATCTTCCTTTTTTTCTATTAATTTGATGTCTTCACTTTGTTTACTTTGGAATGGAGAAACCCAAAGACCATGACTCATCCTTTCTAAAACATATAATTCCTAGAATGAGTCATGGTCTATTTTTAGAAACAGTGAGACAACATTCCCACACAAAAGGGGGGTAGGGTTAATTTTTATCATGTCTAGAAGACATGATAAAAATTAACAAAAAGTTTTTTTTTTTTTTTTTTTTTTTTTACATCTCAGAATTTTTTTTCTGAGCTCTGAAAATTTTTTCCCAGTCGGCAACCAAGTGAAAAATTTCCAATCGGCTTTTACTTTCACTTTCAACTCTTTTCTATAAAAGCATTCCACGTTTTCTGTTCAGAACCGTGCGGGCTCTCCATGGTGCAACATGCTTTTTCTCTCTCTACCTCATCTGCAGCTCTATGACAGCTAACACGCTTGAGCTTTAAAAATGTATGAAAGAAGTTATTTTTAATCCATTTCAGCGATTGAGTGGGCTGGGGAAAAAAAAGGCCCTTTCCATGACAGCTAACACGCTTGAGCTTTAAAAATATATGAAAGAATTTGTTTTTAATCCATTTCAGCGATTGAGTGGACTGGGAAACATTTTCTTAGAGCTCAGGGGAAAAAAAGGCTCTTTCCATGACAACTAACACTCTTGAGGTTTAAAAATGTATGAAAGAATTTATTTTTAATCCATTTCAGCGATTGAGTCTGCTGGGAAACATTTTCTTAGAGCTCAGGGAAAAAAAGGCTCTTTCCATGACAGCTAACACGCTTAAGCTTTAAAAATGTATGAAAGAATTTATTTTTAATCCATTTCAGCGATTGAGTCTGCTGGGAAACATTTTCTTAGAGCTCAGGGGAAAAAAAGGCTCTTTCCATGACAGCTAACACGCTTAAGCTTTAAAAATGTATGAAAGAATTTATTTTTAATCCATTTCAGCGATTGAGTCTGCTGGGAAACATTTTCTTAGAGCTCAGGGGAAAAAAAGGCTCTTTCCATGACAGCTAACACGCTTAAGCTTTAAAAATGTATGAAAGAATTTATTTTTAATCCATTTCAGCGATTGAGTCTGCTGGGAAACATTTTCTTAGAGCTCAGGGGAAAAAAAGGCTCTTTCCATGACAGCTAACACTCTTGAGGTTTAAAAAATGTATGAAAGAATTTATTTTTAATCCATTTCAGCGATTGAGTCTGCTGGGAAACATTTTCTTAGAGCTCAGGGGAAAAAAAGGCTCTTTCCATGACAGCTAACACTCTTGAGGTTTAAAAATGTATGAAAGAATTTATTTTTAATCCATTTCAGCGATTGAGTCTGCTGGGAAACATTTTCTCAGAGCTCAGGGGAAAAAAAGGCTCTTTCCATGACAGCTAACACGCTTGAGCTTTAAAAATGTATGAAAGAATTTATTTTTAATCCATTTCAGCGATTGAGTCTGCTGGGAAACATTTTCTTAGAGCTCAGGGGAAAAAAAAGGCTCTTTCCATGACAGCTAACACTCTTGAGCTTTAAAAATGTATGAAAGAATTTATTTTTAATCCATTTCAGCGATTGAGTCTGCTGGGAAACATTTTCTTAGAGCTCAGGGGAAAAAAAGGCTCTTTCCATGACAGCTAACACGCTTGAGCTTTAAAAATGTATGAAAGAATTTATTTTTAATCCATTTCAGCGATTGAGTCTGCTGGGAAACATTTTCTTAGAGCTCAGGGAAAAAAAGGCTCTTTCCATGACAGCTAACACTCTTGAGCTTTAAAAATGTATGAAAGAATTTTTTTAATCCATTTCAGCGATTGAGTCTGCTGGGAAACATTTTCTTAGAGCTCAGGGAAAAAAAGGCTCTTTCCATGACAGCTAACACTCTTGAGGTTTAAAAAATGTATGAAAGAATTTATTTTTAATCCATTTCAGCGATTGAGTCTGCTGGGAAAACATTTTCTTAGAGCTCAGGAAAAAAAAGGCTCTTTCCATGACAGCTAACACTCTTGAGGTTAAAAATGTATGAAAGAATTTATTTTAATCCATTTCATGAAAGAACATCTTTTTTTCCTGGTTGTGGGATGGAGTAGAGTTGCTGCATCTTGAACAACCCACACTGATCTGAACAGAAACATGAAATGTTCTTATAGATATAAGAAATGAATTGAAAGTGAAAGTAAAAATGAAATTGTATTGGCTGGAAATATTTCTTGGCTGTTGAATGGGAAAAATATTTCCAGAGCTGAAAAAAAAAAAAAAAAACTCTTCCTTTTTTTCTATTAATTTGATGTCTTCACTTTGTTTACTTTGGAATGAGAAACCCAAAGACCATGACTCTCCTTTCTAATCTAAATTTAAAAATTTCTATTTTAAAGTATCAAATGTACACAATGAAAATTGATGTAGCTAATTCAAATATTTAAAAAAAAAAATGTTAAATGAATCGGGAAAAATATGCTAATGTAAAATTTCATTAGGCTGAACTCAACTTGATAAAAATTTTGCCATATATAACCATACACGTTTAAAACTATGCCAATTTAAGGTTATTTTTTTGATTAATTTTAAAAGCTGTTATATAGTTATTTAGCAGTAGTACAGTTCTCTTAGTTAACATGCAGATAAAGAAATGATTAGAAACAAACAGGCATTTTAAGAAAAAAAAAATCCCTGCAAATAAAAAAAGGAACTTTATGCTTGCTAGAGTAGCGCATTTTATCTATTATTTTAAAATTGAGTAAGTACTATTAAATTTTTTAATGTTCAGTGTAAATGCATACTGCAGTAACTGTCTCTTCCAAATTATGCTATCTTCACCCACAGCTCATTTTAAACGTGATTCTTCAAATTTTAAAACGCTAATTTCTATGTTGTCATTCCATCTCCGCGCTCAGTGCCATCATTGCTACGTCATCACTCCTCACTGCCTGTTTCAGGGGGAAACTTAGAGCAGCCTTCTCTTTATCCTGCAAAACTGAATATAAACCGAAGAATGAGTTCGGGCTTCAATACGTAAAGGTATTCCCAGAGACAATGACAACATACAGATATCTAACGTACACTATTGAAAGTAGTTAATAAAATTCTTCAATAAAACAATGCATTAATTTTTTTATTATTATAAATATTAATAGAAATAAATATCACTTAGTACAAAGTTTAGAATTTTTATTATGTCATATAAACAATGTAACTACTTTAGCTGAAGTTGGCATCAGCTTCCACAGCATGTGACAGAAACTGAAACTGGCAGACGGTATGGCTGTGTTTGATGTTTTGGAACGCAACAAGCTGATGATAGATGATACTCAACCACTAAGTTGCACGTTAGAAGCTGCAGAAAATGTACAGGGGCATACCGTAAGATTAGATTTGATACTTTAGTTTTCACGTGGAAATGTTGTCATCAATGTAAACTGTCAAATTTCCTTCTACATATCGATGTTAAAATCCACTAAGTTTGATCTAGTGTAACTAAATTCTAATGATATACATTAAAGTTTCATGAATACCAATCTTTTTATTATGTATGTAAATGCTTATCTTCAGTGATTACTGAAAAAAAAATTACATATATTTTTTAATCTCTAATTCCGCCTGTGTAACTCTCATTATATTTTATAGACAGGTAGGTGGTACGATTTAACATTTCATCAGACCATGTGATCATGCCTATAGTCTTTGAAGTTTAATGTGAGAGGGAATAGACGTTTTAATGTTAGAGAGGAAACCTAAAGCTAATTTCTTCAAAATTCAATGATAAATAATAATTAATTTTTGTTGTTTTATAATTTTAAAAAGGAATACAAACAGGATTTCCGCAATTATATGTTTTTTTATTGGATATTTAAAATAATGTGTTACATTTTTTTTGTGCGTGTTTACTTAAGAAGATAGTATAAATGACATCAGACAGTAGGTACTAGATTGTTTATTAAGCTAAAAATATAAGGGCTGCCAGTCTATATGCAGAAATTTCTAAAAGGAAACTGAGTAGTATTTATTTTTACCAGAGTGAGAATACATAAGACCATCTTATTTTGCTGTCAAGACGAAACTAATTTTGCCTGGTTTATTTAATGTAAGAAAGTTCCTCATCTGTGTATTAAATGTATAGAATATCAAAACACCACACAACTACTCAATATATTTGTTAGTAATAGTGTATAGCTATCATGATGAAAAATACTTTAATAATTTATAACATTTTTGTTATTATAACTATAATAATCAATTGATAAGAAATTCAGCAAATTATATGTCTGTCATTGAAAATTTAACTTGCATTTAATGTTATAAAGCTATTGCTACTTTTCCATTATGCACTTGCCATTCATTTTGGTGCGTTTTTAATTATAAACAATCTCTAATTATAAGAACAGCTTATAGATATACAAATACATACACAGTGATAACCAAAATGGCAAACATTTGAGAGACTTGTTTTAAATGATACGTGATTTTGATAGTTACTTTTGGAAACCCTGTCTCACATAAATAAAAGCAGAAACAGAATCAAAGCTTTTAAAACTCTGTTAGCTATGCACAGTTGGCTGTACAAAATACTCCCACTTGATCAATATTTTGTGGCAGAGAAGACAGTTTACTATATTTCTTAATGGAGTCTGCAGTTTTTGCAGTCCAGCTGGGGAGATATTGATTGAAGCTCTAAGTAAAATTATATTTTAGGAAGCCTCTTGGTGAAAATTGGCAATTTTTGTTGATTGGCCAGAAAGGCACAATTTCAAGATGGATGCTACACAAAACCAAAATAACAGGTCAAAGAATTACACAAACTCAGTGTCCATGTACACATTGATCTATTTTCACTTAAAACAAAATCAGAGAATTGCACACATTCAGCATTGCACACTCCCTTGAATTTGTCCATGTACATATCGATCTATTTTCACTTAAAAATCGAAGGATCACCCAATTCTACACTAGAGCCAAACAAAAAATATATAATCTCGGTAAACTCCATTTTAAATCAAACAATGAAATAACATAATAAAAGAAATACATCGTATTGTTGCGTGCGTATGGGTTCGTTATGAAATGAATGCACAAGTCCGATGAAAAATGAACAAAAATTTATTATTATCACAACAGAAATGCTTAAATTTTCTCAAATTATCATGCAGTATCACAATATCTCACAGTAGTTATCTTTTAACTACTTAAATGTACAATAGAACGTAATTCAAAACAGCTAAAGAACGCTAATCCGCGAATTCGCTATAATCAACAACGGCAGTTTTCTAAACAACAACAAACTAAGCAACTACTACAAACTGAGATGTTTTCCTCCTTTTATAAGATTTTAAAATCACGCGCTAGAATTTTCCAGTGCTTTATTGAAATCAAAAAGAGATAGTTATTTAATTAACGCACGCGCTCTTGTATTTTTAATTTTTCCGGCTTAGCTTTCTTTTAATATTCGTCACGCGCTGCACTGCGCGAGAAATAAAACCATTTAATTTATAATTGAACTAACATTAGCTTTTTAAATACCAAATTCGTAACACTGCCCCCTTCCCAAGGACTGCACGTCCCGGGCAGTACAATCCCTGGACAGGAAGCCAAACTTACAACTAAGGCATGAATACAATAATAAACATTACATTAGAATAATAAACAACATGAACAATAAATAAAACAAATCAAATGCTATCAAATACAAATCAAATACTAAATACACATTTAGAAACAAAAAAGGACCATGGTCTTACACTATTTACAATTATTTATATTACGTACTATGGCCATAGTAATGAGCTAACCTGTCGTAATGAACGACTTTAGGTTTAGAGTTCGAAGACTTACGAATCCGAACCACGACGTCATTCAGCCTTTTTAGGACTGTATACGGGCCATCCCAAGGTGACTGTAATTTCGGACAAAGTCCTTTCCGTCGAGTCAGATTCCACAACTACACCTTGTCTCCTTCCTGGAACTGATGTTCAGTAGCTCTTGTGTCGTAGCGGGTCTTCATCTTCTCCGTCGCCAAGTTGACTCGCTTTCATGCAGAACGGTGCATCCCCTCAAACCGGGCCTGGGCATCTTGGATGTGTTCCTCAGGCGATGAAGGCGCATCTGTAGGGCGACTAAACAGGCGGTCACAAGGCAGACGAAGGTCTCGACCGAAGAGCTTCTGGGATGGAGAATAGCTGGTAGTCTTGAGTTTCTTTTCGACCCTGGTATGATTTCGGCAGCTTCCCGAGCTCGATCTTTCGGACAAGGCGTCGACATTTCCAGGCGAGGATCCCTTTTGAGGATGGATAGTCATGCCATCAGATGCTGAAAGCAGCTTATTGTTTTTGAAATCTAAGGAAAAATTGTATTTCCTTAAAAAGTCCAATCCGAGTATGCATGGATCTGTAATATCCGCCACATATGCCGTGTGATGGTAGGCGGCACTTCCAAACGTGATGTTTACGTTTAACTTCCCAGTTATGTCGATCTTGTCACCAGACGCAGTCTGAAGGGTAACACAGGATGGCGTCCAAATAAGTTTATCTTTAAACTGTTCAGCTAAATCTTTCCTTATGATGGTAACATTAGCTCCTTTGTCAATGATCATATTGCAAGGAACTCCATCGATATTCCCATTGATGGACAGTCCGTTATTGTTGCCACTCACTGTAGAAATCTTAAGCGCTTTAAAACAGGGTTTTTCATTATCTGGCAACCTCCGTTCCTTGATATGGTCATTAATTTGTTTCCTGCGTCGTTGCTCAGAAATTGTCTCAATTTTCGTACCCTGGGGTGTTCTGCAATTCTTTCGTACGTGGCCTTCAGCTCCACAGTTCCAGCACTTTGGTTTCTTGTCAGTCCTTTTCCTTGCCATGGCATTTAATTGTCTGTTTAAATCGTATGCCTTATTTTCCGTGCTCTGGGGGTTCTGCAGTTCCTTCGTAGGTGGCCTTCAACACCGCAATTTCAGCACTTTAGGGTCGGTTTTGTTTCACCACTATTCCGTCTTAAAGCCTTCACTGGTCTTGTCAACTCATCCGTTTTATTATCCGTGCCCTGGGGTATTCTGCAATGCCGTCGTAGATGACCTTCAGAACCACATCTCCAACATCTTACAGCCACTTTGTTCTCACTGCTACTCCGTATCAAAGCATCGACTTGTCTGGATAAATCATCTAAACGAGCCATCAATTGGTCCCCTGGCTCGTGGACTCGCACAGCTCTGACTGGGTTCTCCGAGCTGCGAGTCCTGCGATCTCTCCGAGTTGCTTGCTGGGCTGCCTCAAATTTCATGGCGTACACTAAAGCGCTTTTCAGATCTTTAACATCCGCCATTCGCAGTGCTTTCTGTATTTCAGGGTCCCGGATGCCATCGATGAAATATTGCAGGGACAGGATTTCCCTTGTTTCCGTCAGGCACTCCGAAAAGGCTTGATGTGACAGCCTTTCAACATCCGTGGCGAGCTCCTGAAGCGTTTCGGTGAGCTTCTGTTGACGAGATTTTAATTGGAGCCTGCTGTAGTCTTTTAAACATTTCTCGCCGAAGCGCAGCTCCAAAGCGCCGGATAGAGCTTCGAAATCTAGCCTTTGATTTTCGGGAAGCGTCTGCAGGATATCCGCTGCGTCTGCTCTCAGAGAAGCGGCGAGATGACAGGCCTTAGCTTGGGAATCCCATCCATTCGCATCCGCAACGATAAAAAATTGTGTCCTATACACCTGCCAGGAGGTCTTCCCATCATATGTAGATAGTTTCAGAATGGAACGAGCAGGCATCGATAAAAATTTGAAACCTTCAGAATTGTTTCCTACCGTCGCTATGCACTTCTTTAGGCTGTCAACTTCTTTGGCGACGGCAGCAGAAACCCTATCATCAATTTGTTGTTCGACGGCAGAAACTCTCTCTTCTATATGTTCTTTTACAGAAGAAATTCTTTCTTCTACTTGTTCTTTTACCGAAGAAACTCTTTCTTCTATTTGTCCAACTTTAGTTTTCAAACCACGTCTATTCTGCCTTCCATAGCCTCAAATTTATTTTCTATTACGCAGGTAAATTTCTCTTTTCATTTCGTCCTGACCTGCTTTCATCTCATTTTTAAGAGATTTTAAGAGATTTCATCTCTTCCTTAACGGATTCCTGGCCCAATTTCATTTCTCCTTTAACGGATTCCTGGCCCAACTTCATTTGTTCCTGTGCCGTTTTCATTTCTTCCTTGAGGGATTCCTGGCCCAATTTCATTTCTTCTTTAACGGACCTTTGACCAGCATCCATTTTCTCTTTAATTTCTTCTTGTTTAGATGTTTGGCCAGCTTCCATCTTTTCTTGGAAAGCAGCAAAAGCAGTAATGAGCTGTCTCAATTGTTCTTCCATCCCTCTTGTTATTGGCATTCAAATCCCACCGCTGCCACCAAAAAAAAAAAAAAAAAAAAAAAAAAAAAAAAAAAAAAAAAAAAATTGTTGCGTGCGTACGGGTTCGTTATGAAATGAATGCACAAGTCCGATGAAAAATGAACAAAAATTTATTATTATCACAACAGAAATGCTTAAATTTTCTCAAATTATCATGCAGTATCACAATATCTCACAGTAGTTATCTTTTAACTACTTAAATGTACAATAGAACGTAATTCAAAACAGCTAAAGAACGCTAATCCGCGAATTCGCTACAATCAACAAGAGCAGTTTTCTAAACAACAACAAACTAAGCAACTACTACAAACTGAGATGTTTTCCTCCTTTTATAAGATTTTAAAATCACGCGCTAGAATTTTCCAGTACTTTCTCGAAATCAAAAAGAGATATTTATTTATTTAACGCACGCGCTCTTGTATTTTTAATTTTTCCGGCTTAGCTTTCTTTTAATATTCGTCATGCGCTGCACTGCGCGAGAAATAAAACCATTTAATTTATAATTGAACTAACATTAGCTTTTTAAATACCAAATTCGTAACAGTATTGTATCTATACACTACAGAAAGGAAATATCCACTTACTCTATTTAGAAGTTTTTGTGTCTTCAGTCTGTGGCACACGAAATTCCTTAACAGCATCCAAAATTTTCCTAAAATTATCTGAACTAGAATCTGTATGCTGGCATTGCCACATAAATTCACAAAAATAAGAGTAAAAAATATCCTCCCTAGTGCCGGACTGTTGGTTGCATTTCTTGCGTGAACCATTCTTGTGATAAACCCATTCAAAGCCATGTGAACAATCTTTATATTTGACCATATGCATTTCCTTCATACAGACAAGACACTTATAGTGACTACTAAGTAAACCTTCATGTACACACCAATCATTTAGCCATTTTACAATGTAATGCACAAAATAAACAACATACTTCCTAATTGACATCTAATGCAGAAATAAGCCCTTACAAATATTTTTCCATGAGTCAACTTCATTGCAATCATGGAACCAATCACGTCATAATAGGGTTCCATAACATTCAACTAAGGTTACCATAAATGAAACAACAACTTGGTGATAATCCAAGGGGCACCCTAAAATATAGACTAACCAAGCTCTAGTTATAATCGTCAGTCTTTTCTGAATTCTTATTGTGGAGAAGTTTTGAGATCTAATTTTGTTTTTCTTTCAGATATGTGTACAGCAAGGCAGTTGTTTAAATCTTTGTTTACCCTCTTATTCTTTTCTTCTGCAGGAGAAATTCTTTTCTAAAATCTAAAATTTTGTTTGATGACAGTGTAATATATTTTTATTAAATAGTATATACATACATGTTCAAAACTATTATAGTAAATTGTAGTAGTAGAACTTATGTAAGTAAAATTCATATGAGTTTGACTGAATTATCATTTAATTTTTCCTGTACTTTAAATGGCAATACGGATTAAAAAGCATTTCACTTTTTAAATGAAATCCTCTTTTATTTGTATTTTGAATAAAACTTTAAAATATGGCCTTTTTTTTGGCAGTTTATTATCTTTATAATTTAATATGATTAATTTCCTTTCATTACTTTATATATGTTTTTAGGTATATGTGATGAGGATTCATAGAGAACCTTCTGAAGTATCTTGGCAGGTAACACGACGGTACAGTGATTTTGATGCTTTGAACAATGCTCTTTTGTATTCTGGCATAGACTTACCTCTGCCACCAAAAAAGGTTTTTGGCAAACTAGAACGTGAATTTGTTGCTGAAAGACAACAAGGCCTTCAGGTAAAAAATTTTATTTTTAACTGGTACTAATTTATGTTTAATTTTTTTTTAAACTTTAGTATGCATTTTTGTAGTAAATTCCATTTTGATCATGAAAATGTCAATTTAGTCTAAATTGAAAAATCTGGCTAGTCTTTCATAAGTGGGGTAATTTGGCACTAAACAAAGTTGGTGCTAAATTTTTACTTCCTTGCACGAAGTAAAAAGGAAGTATTGTAATCGCGAAAAGTTTCAGGCAGCATATTTCAATGAAAATATACATTTTGACCGCTTTTGAATGCAATTTAACAATGTTTTTGCATGATATCTGTACGTAAGGACAGAATAAAAGACTCTTTTCCTCCAAAAAAATTATAAAACTGCTTCAAAATGAATTCTGAAGGGAAAGGTTCATTACAGACGCCACGAACATACGTATCTCGCATAACTCAAAAACGAGTAGCCTTAGAACGTTGAAATTTTGTATATAGGACTGCTATAACATGTAGATGTGCACGTCGTATTTTGGTTGCAATCGGCCGCACCAAACGTATATAAATAATATATATCCACTGTATATACTTATATATGTATTCAAACATATATAAATATATTTGTATATGGTGAATCTTTGGATTATGGTAACTTGGTGATTTTTTGCGAAACTTTGGAAACCAACTCTGCTACAGCAACCTGCTAGTTTTTTTTTTTTTTTTTTACTCAACATTTTCCCCAACAATCTGCTAGCCGAATCACGCTTATGCTAGAACTTTTATGGAACAAAAGTGCTTAATCATGACAAAGATTAGGTGCGAAATTGAGAGAAAGTGTAGAATCGCCCACTGCTTGCTGCGTTTTTAAGAACTGCATATACACGGTATCCATGTGCACATCGACCTATTTTCACTTAAAAAAACATCCCAGAATTTCACAAAAATGGCATTGCGCACACGCTTGACTTTATCCATGTACACATTGACCTATTTTCACTTAAAAAGTCAAAGAAAATTGACAAAAATCCAATTCTGGCTGATCTTTGGAATATGGTAACTGGTAGTTTGGCAACATTTTGGAGGTGATAAAGGTTACTACCTAGGACTTTGGTAATAATGTGAGAAGTACTGAGTTCCGATTACGCATTATTTTGTGTGAGGGAAAAGAGAGATCATGAGATATGTCGTGACATTAATGGACGAATTACAGTTCTTTAATCAGAAAAGGGGAGGGGATTTGGAAAACTGTAGTACTACAGTCAAAAGTCTTTAATACGGACTCGTCGGGACTTCGGCGATCATCAGTTTAAATCTCGTAAGATGGCATGCAGAAATTATAAAATTAAAAATATGAAACTGTAATTTATAAAATAATGAGCAATTATGATCTAAAGGGTATCAAAATTTACCAAAAAAGAAGCCTAATATTTATTTGTTTACTTTATTAAACATTTCTTTTAATGCGCGGATGCGTAAAGCATACCTTACGCATAGCCGAAATTAGAAAATTGCAACCAGAAAACTATTTGATTTGTATTCGTGATATTTATAATGACGAGGAATTTGATTTAAATCATATCAAAGACGGAGTACAATCGAATTAAATACTACATTTAGTAAGGAATTATAAGCCGAATAAAATAAAACATCTGCCCTGAAGATAACGATAGTGTTGACAAATCAACTTCCAGTTCATTGTGCACCGCGACGTCCCCCCCCTCCCGTGCAGAGCAGCGTGAAATTGTAGAATATTTTGAGTATTTTCATGCATTTTCGTGAAATTTTTCTAATTTATGAGAAAAAAGCAGTGTACACGGATATAGTGAAGAGTGTGCGCTATGCCATTTTTGTGCAATTCTGGGATGTATTTTTAAGTAAAAATAAGTCGACGTGTACATGGTTTAGTGATATTTTAATTAAGTGATAGTTATTTTGTGAATTTTATGTTTGTAGGAATTTGGTATACGTTTCAGTTGAAGTAAACATGCATGGAAGTAATTTAAATATTTGACAGTAAGTATTTGTAACCATTCGTAATGTTTGCGGTATGAATTCGTTGGTGACATTTATAATATAATGGATAATTTAGAGGTAAAAGTTTTTGGATATTTTATTTATTTTATACGTGGAAATGTTCATCTTTGGAAAGGGTATATGCAAGCTGAAGGTTAAAAGCTTGCATAGATCATACTTTTTTGCGATCAGGTAATTTCATATATGTGCTTTTTACCAAGTTTAAAGATTCACAGAATTTTTTTGCATTTTCGTGCAAATTTTTGTAATTTATGAGCAAATAGCAGTGTAGATGGATAAAGTTAAGAGTGTGTGCAATGCCATTTTTGTGCAATTCTGGGATTTTTTTTAAGTAAAAATAAGTTGACGTGTAAATGGTTTATGTGTATGTGCTATTCTGAAAAACGCGCAAGGAGTTTGAGATTGTGCACTTTTTCTCAATTTTGCAGTTAATATTTGTCATGATTAAGGAGTTTTATTACATAAAATTTCTAGCATAAGTGTAATTCGGCTAGTAGATTGTTGGAAAAAGTGTTCAGTAAATAAAAAGAAAAGAAACGTGTCTTTACTTTGTGAAGACAAAATGGCGGCGAAAAAAAAATAGAGGGTTGCTGTAGCAGAGTTTGTCGCCAAATTTTCGCCAAAAAATCGCCAAGTTACCATAATTTAAAGATCACCCCCAATTCTTCTTACTCTTGTAAAAAGCGCCAAACAAATAAGTGGGCGATTCTGCACTTTAGGAGCGAAATTGTTTCTAAGTGCTTATTAGCTAAAATCCCGATTGGAATTTTCTGGAAAATGTCACATTACATGTCTCATGATCTCTCATCTCTCTGAGACTGAAGAAAAATAATCTGTGATTCAAACTGTGTACTTCTCAGATTATTGCTAAAATCCTAGCTAGTAACCTTTATTGCCTTACCAAAATGTCGCCAAACTACCTGTTACCATATTCCAAAGATTAGCCTGATATATACAGTGTCTCACAAAAGTGATGGGACACTTGTGCTTTACAAAAGGAAACTGTAATAAAATAAATTAAAAGAACATGTAAACATTTTTTGTGGGTGTGTTTCATACATAAATTTAGTAACGATTATTACATAATACATTTTCTCATAATATTAAAATATTAATTTAATAAAAATACAATTGTTTAGAACGGAGCAAAAAATGGCTCACATAAGTGATGGGACACCATTAGATACTACTACGTACTACAATAAAAATACTTTTTGGGGTTTTTATTTTTACTCAAAAGCAATTAGCAATAATTTATAAAATCGTCTGCAGTATTTCGCTCCAGTTTGTTTTGGAATTTTTGTGTTTTTTAGTTCTGTGCAGCCATGAATGCTAAACGAAAAGAAACCTTGCCTGAAATTCGAAAATTAGTTATTACTTTGCATATTGAACGAGGAAAATCTATTAGAGAAACTGCTGAAACAGTTAACTTGAGTCATTCAACAGTTTTCAATATCATTAAACGATATAAAAAGAATCATATGATTCAGGATAAAAGAAGATTGGCCGACCATCAAAGCTATTCAATGGAATAAAGCGAATTATCGTTCGAAATATTAAAAAAAAATCCAAGAATGAGTGCTCCTAAAGTTGCTGCTGATTTACAAGCATTATATGGAGTAATTCTTAATCCTGAGACTATTAGAAGAGTAATTTGATTTGCTGGATATCACGGTAGAGCAGCCAGGAAAAAATTCTTCGTAAGTGAAAAGAATAGAAACCTCAGACTGGCTTTCGCAAAATCCATCATAAATAAGAATTCTGATTACTGGAATGAAGTTATATTTGCTGATGAGAGTAAATTTAATACATTTGCTTCTGACGGTAGAATCTTGGTGTGGAGAAAACCCAGGGAAGAATTTCGCAAACAGGACTTGGTGCCAACATTAAAACATGGTGAAGGAGGATTTATGGTATGGGGGTATATGTCGTCCGCTAGAGTTGGTAATCTTGTTTTTATTGACAGTATAATGGATCAGTACAAGTATATTGACATTTTAAATCAAAAATTTGAAATCTTCAGCACGAAAATTGAACCTTCATAACGATTTTAAATTCTACCAGGACAATGACCCCAAGCACACTGCTCTGAATGTTACACTCTGGCTGCTGTATAACTATCCTGAAATAATAAAAACACCACCACAATCTCCAGACTTAAATCCCATAGAGAATATTTGGCAAGAATTGGAATCAAGAATTCGCAAACACACCATTTCTTCAAAACAACAATTAAAATCGGTGCTTCAAGAAGAATGGGGTAAAATCACTCCAGATATCACAAAAAAATTAGTCGAAACCATCCCAAGACGATTAAATCATGTTTTAAAAGTAAAAGGATATCCAACAAAGTATTAAAACCTTTTAAAAAGTAAAAGTTTTGGATAAATATTTGATGGAAAAGTAAGTGTCCCATCACTTATGTGAGCCATTTTTTGCTCTGTTCTAAACAAGTGTATTTTTATTAAATTATTATTTTAATATTTTGAGAAAATGTATATTATGTAATAATTGTTACTAAATTTAAGTATGAAACACACCCACAAAAAATTTTTACACTTTTTTTTTATTTATTTTACTACAGTTTCCTTTTGTAAAGCACAAGTGTCCCATCACTTTTGTGAGACACTGTATATATATATCCACTCTGTTACCCGGCTCAGTGATCTCAGTTTCTTTACTCTTATATGTTTGTAAATTGTACATTTTTTGCTTTAAAAATGATTGAATTATGTTGTTTTTTCTTCTGATTAAGGTTTTTATGCCTTTAGTAACAATTTTAAAGTTGTTTAAGAGCCGCTAAGCCTAATAATGATTTTGATGGCAGCCATTGCTTGTTTACATTTGAAACAGCAGAGTAGTGGATTTGTTGCCAATCTAGAGAAACGTAGCTTTGCAACAACAAAATAATGCCTGCATTTATTATTGCGAATTAAATCATGCTTAATCCTTTCTGGAATTTTTTCGAGGAAATAAGTGTTTAAGTTTTACTTTGTAATTTTCAATACAGATATTTTGAGTTTTTATGTATTTTTGCCTTGTCGCGAAGTGAGAACTGAATTAATTGAATGAGAAATACTCAATCGTCTGTGAAAAACTGTTTCTTTTTTGTTATGTTTGCTTAATTTCTTTTATACATCATTCTAGCTTGTATATAGTAGCTTGTATATAGTATTTGAATAGAACATGTGGCAATGATTAGATAATTCTTTAAATGATGTAAATTTTGTGCATTCTGAGTTATAATATGAACATAAATTTTGTGCATTCTGAGTTATAATATGAAGCATTCTGAGTTAAAAAATTATCATATGCATTCTGATTTATAATATGAAGCATTCTGAGTAAAAATGTGAATAATAGGACTCTTGCAATGACGACTGCTCTACTTGATTTTTGGTAAATATTATTTTTGCTTGTTCTTGATATGGCTAGTAATAGCGAACCACCTGATAGGGGGAAAATTCCTTGGCATGCTACTTTCAGCAATTATGATAGCAATAATGATTCTACTTATTTGAATTTCAATCAAGAAAATTGACTACATCCAAAGAGATGCCTGTAATTGCTTCAGATGACCTGGCACTTCAAAGTATAATTGCTGTTCTAATTTCTACTAAGAAAAGTAAATTCCAGAGAAAAGAAAAGAAAACCACAGGAAGTCCTAAGAAAATAGCCGATAATACTAAGAAATTCAAACCCTCCCCTTTAAATTTTGAAGCAGTATTTAACAAACACAGAAAAGTTTTTTCATAATTTAACAGAAGCTATCTCACAAGAATATCTTAATACTCAGCGTTCGACTAATCCAAAAGATTTCTCACTCAAATTAGAAAATGAAATCGCCGATAAATTAAACTGTATTGAGTCTAAGAAGACATTAACCTCCCCACTAGCGATAGAAATGTGTTCATAGTTACAAGAAGAAATTCAACAAAATCAGTTCATTTTATCAAGTATTCAGAACACCCCAAAGCTCGCAAATTCTAAAACAGATGATAAAACAATAAATAAGAAGGATTGGCAAACTCCAAAGAAAACAGCGAAAAATTCCGAGTCTATCCCACCACCAGATATTCCGCAAAATAACAGAATTGAAACTCTTAACGAGAATGACGAAGCTATGGAAGTTACAGATAAAACGCAGACGACTACAACACAGAATAATGCAGAAAATAAAACGAAAATTCTTCCATTAGTCATTCCAGAAAACGATGTTGATTGGCCTGAAATAGACAAAATGCTCAGAAAAATATGTAAAAATGAATTTGAAATTACAATCAAAGCCAGACAAATTTTCCTTTACACTAACACCGAAGCCGATTATAAAGCTACAGTTGATAAATTCCAGAAAGCACAGATTAGTTTTCTTACGTACCAAATTTCCTCAGCCTCTTCAATTAAAGTTATACTTAAGAATATCCCAAGATCCTACACAGAGCAAGCAATTCACACAGACTTACGCTGTGTGGTTAACGCAGAAGCTTCCCTATAATTAAAGCAATTCACGAAGAAAGCAGAAGACCAAATTATCTGTTTACCTATATTTTCCCTGGAACTAAAGAGAAATTCTGCAAGAGAGAAAATTCATCAGTTAAACAATATGTTCGGATTCAATATCACAGTAGAAAAATATCAGCCCAGAAAACGCCCAATTCAATGCTTCAATTGCCAGGAGTTCGGGCACTTCCAAAATAGCTGCTTTAAAAAAGTCAGGTGCTGTAAGTGCAGACAAAATCACAGATCCAAACCTGTAAATTAAAACCAGATGAAAAACAAACTTGCATTTACTGTCATGAAAATCACGTTTCTTCTTATCGTGGTTGTAAGGTATACAGAAAAAGATTCAATCATTTAGAGAAGATAGAAAAACCACAAGAAATTCCCACTAAAGATGACTTCCCTAAATTCATTCAAGCTTCAGACCAAACTTATCTAGAAATGCCTAAAAACCTTTACAGTGACAAAGTTAAGCAGAAAAACCCGCAGGAAAATTTAGCAGAAATCATTAACATTTTCAAAGATCAGAAAACCCTTTATCTCATGAAATCAATAACCACAATAGCTCAGAAAATTAAATCAGCTAAATCAAATATGCAGAAACTTTGTCTAGCTTTTCAAGCCATCGAGATTATTTTGAACTTTGCAGATCAAGATTAATTTGCACTTCCTCTCTCAAGACAAGCATAGCCGAGCGGCAGAAATTCTCAAGCTACAGATCCTCATATCGTGGGTTCGGACCTCAGCCCTGCTCACGTTCCATTTTTGGTTTTAGATCAAAAATGGCTCTATAATTTTCGCCAAAAGATGGCGCCACGCTTAATTCTGTTCTAGAGACTCTGCACTAGGTTCAAAAAGTACGTTCCATCTTCTCATCATTAAAGACACCCTACTTATAATATATTGGTAAAGGCCGCACTAGGCCGATTGCCTCTTATTGTGTTACGACATAGACATAGACATAGTTATAATATGAATGAAATATAATACTGTTAAGTGAACCTAGCGCCAGAGTGTCGCTATGGTAAACAAATAGAGTGAATTTTTAAGAATGCATTTATTCTATTGTGGTTTATGCGCTGTCGGCGAAGTAGATTTAATTCAGTCCAGTAAGTTTAAACGAAATGCAAGAAAAAATGCATATAATTTAATATTCCGTACAAGGAAGTCATGTGGTGTACACATCAGATTTTTTTCATTTGCGATGTCAAGCTTCACATCGTCAAACGAAAATTATGCTAAATGCAACACAAGCATACATTAATACAAACTATAATATAAATTAAAATAAACTTAAAAAAAAAAAAAAAATTCAACTCACAAACATGAAACTAAAAAATTACAAAAATACAAAAATAATCCATATCAAATGTCTCTTCACTTGCATAAAAAAATGCCAGCCAAGTAAATATATTCAAATTCACTAACAATGGATGCATAATAACCTCACAAAAATATACAAGTTACTATCGTTATAGAATTCTACACACTGAACCACTTTCACTCAACACTTTAAACATTCCACATCTCTTTGTGGCCACGTGCAAGACCCCCCCAAAAAAACTTGAAAATCATTAACTAAATAAAATTAAATGAAAACATTTATAAATTATAAACTCCTCATCATCTGAAATCCAACATTTTCCCAACAACAACAGCTTAACCTCCTGCAAATATTAAAGAGTAAAATTTTTAAAAATAAACTCAAAATTAATTTAAAAAGAGAAATATCTTCTGGCTACACTAAACTAACACTCATTACAATCACAGAAATAAAGCTCTGTGTTTTCCACAAGAAAACATACAGTCGTAAAATTCTTTCTTCCTATTTATGTTAAACGTTTTTTAGACCAACTCGAAATTGTACCAAATAAAAACTCTTGCCAAGTTTCACGATCACTCGCTTATGGAAGATTAACCAAAAATCTTATAATGTAAGCAGTTCTTATTCCATATTGCATACCACTTTTCATATAATTTAAATTTAGGAGGAGGTAAGAAAATATGGACCATATTCTGTTGATAGAACAGCTTGATCAGCCTTTCTCTGTGGTTAATTTTCACAAATGTATTATTTTTTAATACAAAAATTGTACAAAATTTATTATAGGCTGAAATACTGCTGGAAATTGCTGATCGTTCATTTTGTATTTTATAAGCTAAAATTATCGTAAATAATTACTTATAAACTATGTATAAATATTTTTCAATATTAAAAATATTTTTTAACTGTCAGAATTTATACATTTTGAAAATTTACATACTTTTTATGAGACTGCATTCTTCTCCAGAAATTAGATTTAAAATTATGTAGAAATAAAAACAAAAAGAGGTTGATTTTTTCTGTTATCAGGAGTGGACTTGGGTATCGCAGTTTGCAATAATCTTGCAATAATGCCAAATGCAACACTTATGTATGTATGCATGCTAATTCCTTTTGTCCTATTGTATTTTTATTTAAATTCTGGTAATCTTTTATTTTTGTATTAATGATCTTGTAGATTTCTGTTATTGGAATGAGTCTAGTCCCATTAACAGAAAAGTACCAAAGAAAAAGTAATTTAAAATATATCTTCTCAGGGGTGAAAGATCTTGTCTTCAATCGAAAGGTTGTATTTTGTTGGACTCTTCTGGTAATTTTGCTGAAAATTTCTATAACAGTTATGTTTAAATACATTGCTTTGCTAGTTTAATATATCTTAGAATTGAAATCAGATTTGATCTGTTACTTTCATTAATAGGTATGAGAAAAAATGGTTTATATATACCTAAATATAAGTTATTCATGTAATGCTTGCATATATCAGTTATTAATATTTTTATATGTCTGAATGCATTTCTTAAAAGATGCTTTTTGTTTTAGGCATATATTAATTTTGTGCTGTCACATCTGTTATTGTCCTCTTCAATTCATGTTAAACGATTTTTAGACCCATCTAATTATTCTTTTAACTTTGTTGGTGAGTATGAGAAGTTGAAAACTTGATTTTATGAAAATTTTTATATTACGTATAAAAATTTATTATTTGTATTACTTTTATCTAAAAATGTATCTAGTTTTATTGATTCAAGGTTTCTCGATAAATCTTTCAGTTTAAAATATTTTACACTGTGTAAATAAATGTATTGTTACATTTTCCTTTCTCATGTACAACATTTCCTCCTTTAACATATTATTTTTGTAATCTATCTTCATTAATTTTTATTAAGCAGGTCTAAGGAAATTTTATTCTTAACCTGGAAATACAGGAATTAAATAGTCTGATGACAATCCTATCAAAACTTTTAGGAATGAAAAATATAAGCAAAACAACAGCTGCATTCATTTCAGCAGGGCATTTCACAATCATCCCCAAGCCCTTGAACAGGGTGTATAAAGTGGTACTAATGCTCACAATATTTGCAGCTGTAGATTGGCTGATATAAAATATCTGTGAGGTTTAAGTGCATACCATCTGGAGTTTGATGTACGTGTGCTTATGAATTCATGCCACATTGTGTTACATTTTACCACTCGTTCTCGAAAGGCTATTTTTTTGTACTTTATTTGTTGTTGTTTTGACATTTTTATTGCTTAAATAAGGTAGATACCTTCTATACAAAGCACTTGTCAGTACCTTGAAATCTTTTTATCTGTCTGTTACTTTTACATCAGTTCCACCACTAATATTTGTACCATAGCACGAGATTATAAGCCATTTGGCTAATCATGTAATAACCTTGTTTCTCCCAAACACTACAGTTTAATGGTTGAACATGTCCATGCTTTGTATGGCACTACTCAAGCAATAGTCACTGCCATACAACATGCCTTGCCACCTGCTGCAAATGTCTGCAGTGTACTTACCTGCTGCAAATGTCACCATCTGCAAGAAATATTCTTATAATCACACAACAGTGTTGTAATTCACAGATACATTATGTTGCGCCACTGTATGGTTGTAAATATTGTAAGCATACACAATACCTTTATATGTCTTTTTGTGGTTGTTGTATGTGTTTGTAGAATGTCACACTTTGCACCTTTGTTTTGTTCACATGCTTGATCTGTCCTGAAAGTTTCATAGATATTTTTGTCTGGGTAACTTTCCTTGCTAGTGATAGAGAGTTTCATTCTTAACTGTGCAACATGTGTGAATCTTCTGAAAATATTTGAAGTATAAATGTATAACTTCCTTTGTACCTCTATAATTTCTTACATTAAGAGCATTGTAAATAAACTCATTACTCAGATTTATAATTTATTTTTGATATAAGGTATAGCTTAGTAAATAATATGGATGTAATATTTTCTTATTGAAATTAAATGTAATGCAATTTTAAGTGTAATGACTTCATAATAATTTAAATACAGTGGCTTATATTTGTTTTCAGACACTTGTAATGTTTTTCCAGTATATTATTTTTTCTCTATTTAAAGACTTGAAAAATAAATATCATCAAAATACTCTTTGCAATAAAATAATTTATTCCAGAAGTGTTAATCTGTAACTCGCATTATGATTCAGAAACTTGAAAGTGAGTCGAGATGTTTTGAAAGATGATGTTTCTTGTCATTATTATTATTTTTTTTGGTTTAAATAAAAATATATCACAAGAATATCATCTGCATTTAGAAGTTATTATTTATTTAGCAAAATGTAATATTAGTTCGATATCTGAAGTGAGCATGGCCAGATTCTACAAATTAAAGACATTTCTGTTCAAAATTTAACTATTCATGATTTTAAAAATGTTAAAAGTATTCAAAATATTCACAAAATCCTTGATGCAAAGCATTTAACTATCTTTCATCTGTTAAAAGGATGGAAACTGTGTGGATCTGTTCGAAATTCGTTGAAGTCTGCACCATATTTCAACGGGAAGTACTGTAGCTAACTGTAACTAACACAAAGAATTCAGAGATTTCTTCTATGAAAAAACAAACTAAAAAATTAGTACTGTAACGCTTGTATATAACTCTCCTGAAGGTATCAAAACTCCTCCATATTCTTTGGACTTAAATCCCATTGAACATGTATGAATTGAGTTGGAGAAAAGAATATGTAAGCATGACATTTCTGTAAAAGTGCCCAAATACTTATGCGAGTTAATTTTCAGAACTTTTTATATAAACTATTTTTTAACCAAAAATGTTTTGAATAACTTTTTGAAAGCAAACAGTTTGAAAAAAAGGTTATTAGTAATATATATAAAAGAAAAACAGTCATTTCATTATTATTTAGTAACTGATATTTGCAAATAAAACTGAAAACTGCAAATGTCTGAAAACAAATATGAGCCACTGTAATTTTTTTTTTTTTTTAATTTCCCTGTGTTCTGTTTTGTTTAGAAACATCTTTGCAACATGTATCTATGATTTTTAGATCAGAACCCCAGTGGGAAGTTGTAGAGCCTTTACTTGATTTTGGTATGTTTACTTAATTATTAAAAATGTTTAAAGTTACATTTTTTTAAAATAATGCCATACACATATGAACACATATTCTGATATAGTTTATTTTTTATTTACATAATGGTGCTTTTTATTTTTGTATCAATACACTTTATATTCCTCAGATCAATTCTGGGCGAGGAAAGCTTATATCATTAAATACTTCGATTTCGCTTAAATAAGCAAATTTAAATATTTGCTTGTTTATGCTAAGCTGTTTTATATTACTACTAAACTGCTTTGGATTACTTTATATTACTATAGATTTATGTATGTTTTAGAGTTAGGTATGTATATTTTGTTTCCTTTATGTGTGTGTGTATAAATGTAAGATATAAGAAAATACGAAAGCTGCTTTAAGAATAATTGGCGACCTCAAAACTAACATTCTAGATTTGGTGTTCTTCCCCTAAATTCATCTGTTCTCCAAAATTTAAGATCCTTTTATGTTATATAACAGCCTAAAATTAACCAACCATAGCTTAGAGTATTTTCTGCATGTATTTAGTATAAATACTCTTGGCACAAAAAACTACGCCATTCTTTTCCTAGCTTCGCCACTGCTAACATATTCCCACTACTTTGCTTCTCAAATGTCATTTCTTAAAAAAAAAAAAAAAAAAAAAAAAAAAAAAAACAATGTATATAGAAATTTATTATATTAAATTATGATTGAATAAGTCTCTGCAAACTAATTAGATATGTGTGAAAATAAAGATTGGTGATTTGTCGGAATTCAGTTTTGTCATCTTCATCTCTTCTTGCTACTCAGCCATCATGACTATGCATCAAAATTATTACACACACACACACACACATATATATATATGTAATATTCAAAGCACAAGGAAAGGAGAGAACACTGTCGATGTCGATGCGTGATTAGATCCATATTGAAGACGAATTTTGATAGCGTGGTATGCTAATAATGCTAACTTGGTAATATCTAAAGAACTTGGCAGTCGAGGCAGTTTTAATTCCATTTTTATTTGCAACTAATATTTGTGGCCACAATCACTTGGCACTCTAGTCATGCCTTTCCACAGAAGATTTACGTTTTTGATATTGTTGAGATAGAAAGCAAGCCAGCGAAATTACATCTTAGCACAGTAGAGAGCAAAAGCTGAAGTGCGTAGTTATGAAGGATGGAAGCACGGCAAAGAAAAAAGTTTTGATTTACAACGGCAGTTATTACGTCATCAGAGCTGCACAGGCCATAGAGTGATCTAGAAATGACGCAATGCAGAGAAGTTATTACGATTTTAGATATATATATGTAATGTGTGTGGAATTTTGGAAGAAGCATGACCAGCTTGGTTGTTATACATCATTTCTTTTTAGATGATGAATTTCGTAGCAAACATCTTCTTAATTGTTAGAACACTAGAGATACTAAACATTCCTCACAGTTTTAGATACACAGTTATGTCTTATATAAGGGAGATTAGCTAGCAGAGGCTAAGTGACACATTGCCAGCAGGAAGACAAAGTGATGAAAGAGGATGGGTAGTTAATTGCAGTACTATTTATAAGCTCAGAACGCTTTATTTTAAACTTGAACAGTGACTGGGCCCAAAGATCTCATGTTGTGGTTACTGTAGGGAAAGCATGGTGTAACATGGTACGAGGGCCATCCAGGAAGTAGATTACGTTTCCGTCTGTGTCCGCTAGGGGCGGGGCTAGCGCGGCCATCTTGGGGTCAGAGCGTTGCGCAGCTCAGTCTGCATCTAGCCGTGCTAGTGAGAGGTTCGTGCTGTGCTCCGTTCAGATACTGTGACGGTTTGAAATGTCTGCGTTAATTGAAAATCCTGCGAGGTGCGCTCAGTAATAAGGTTTCTGACTGCAAAAAACTGTAAACCGATAGAAATCTATCGGCACAGCTTCGTGAAGTGTATGGGGACAACATTATCACTGAAGGTGGAGTGCGTCAGTGGGTCATAAGATTTCAAAATGGCCGAACCAATGTTCACGACGAAGATCGAAGTGGGAGACCCAGCATAGTGACCGCCGAACTTCTTGAAAAAGTCGATGCTAAAGTCCGTGAAAATCGAAATTTCACAATAACGGAACTTTCTTTGAGTTTTCCACAAATTTCGCGAAGTTTGTTGCACGAAATCATCAGCGAAAAGCTTGGTTACCACAAGTTTTGTGCAAGATGGATTCCAAAAATCTTGACAGAGGACCACAAAAATCAGCGAGTGGCTGCAGCGTTGAACTTTTTGGACGCTTACCATAAGGATGGTGACTCTTTACTCGATCGCATCGTTACTGGTGACGAAACATGGGTGAAACATGTGAACTGTGAAACGAAATTGCAATCAATGCGTTTTGATGACGACGCACAGCTGCAAGAAGAGGTAACGAAGTGGTTGAAGGCGCAGGCGGCCGAATTTTTCGACGAAGGAATTTCCAAGCTCGTACATCGCTACGATAAATGCCTTAATTTGTATGGTGACTATGTAGAAAAGTAGTATTTGAGTGTGGCTTTCATCTGTATATAATAAAATTTGTTTCCTATACTTTGTTTATTTTTTTATTCCAAAACGTAATCTACTTTCTGGATAGCCCTCGTATAATATGGACCCTTGAAAAGGGAATCTGTGCAATTAAATTAAGAATTTAAAGGACCATTCCAATTAAGTTAATTTGATAAATTTTTTCATGTTTTTACATCTTACGGCCAGATAAAAACATGTAAATAAAAATTATAATTTTAATTTGCCATAATCCCTGACCTTTCCATTTTAATTCGACTGTTTCCCTTTCTGTCCTAAAAATAGTAACTGCTTACAATAAATATCTTTTAATTTGCGTCATTTTGAAATCAGTCCTTGTCATATGACTTTCACATAATGCTACTGATAGAGGCATTTATATAAATGTTTCGACAAATAAACGATTCAGTTGAATATAAACTGTTTGACCATGAAATTCAACAAAAAGAACACGCACAAGAATGGCGATGCTGCATGAGGGAAGAATTGTTATGAGCATGTTTTGTCTGAATAGTGGTTACATACAGTTGCCAGAGTCTGGCACATTCTGAAAAGCTGACAACTTCTGCTAAGGTTACGATTATAGGTAATTACTGCACTAACTTAGCTTTATGTATCTACTTCAAGAATACTACGTCAAATACTGCATTAACTTAGCTATATGTATCTACACTGGTGTACAAAAATTAAGGACGAGATGGTTTTTTTCAATATAACTTTCTACAAAAGCTTTCCAAATCAACACATTTAATACCGTAAGATCCCCAATACGTAAGGACATGAGTAATGTAAGCAACACTTACTAAAAGAGAAATCAGAGGGATAAAAAAGAAGCTTTATTGAAAAAGTAGGAGCGCAATGTGACTGAAGGCCGAAACAACCCTGTGATGGGTGTCCAGCAAGAAAAATACGGTCTTTAATAGGGGATATGATCTCCCCTGACTGCTAGGCAGGTTTCACAGCGTCTGCCAATGTTGAGATTGAGGGTGTCAATGAGTTGTTGAGGCATTGCTGCCCATTCATCTTGCAGCGCCAATCGAAGCTCCGGAATCGTTACTGGTGGTAAGGTACGAGCTGCCAAGCGTCTGCCTAGAAAATCCCATACATGCTCGATGGGATTGAGATCCGGAGATCGTGCCGGCCAATCCATACGTTCAATATCCTCACTCTCTAAGAGCTGTTCGGCAGCTACTGTGCGATGACATGGTGCATTGTCATCCATGAAAAGGAACTGCGGACCCATAGCGCTTCTAAAAAACACACATATGGAAAAAGAATCTCGTTACAAGAACGGGTCCCGTTGACTGAACCTGCGTCGAAGATATGAAGGTCTGTACGACTACCAAGCATGATGCCTCCCCAAACTAGAACACCGCCACCTCCATACCTGTCCCTTTCAATGATGTTCGAGGGATGATTGCGGCTTCCCCACTCTCTCCAGATGAGTATGCGATGAGAATCGCTACTCAGATTGAATCTGCTCTCATCTGTAAAGAGTACTCGTCCCCATTCATTGTCTCTCCAATTTCGGTGTTCCCGGTACCACAGAGAACGCCTTCTCCAATGGGCAGGCGTTAGAGGTACACACCGTACAGGGCGTCGTGCAAACAGACCACTACCGTGCAGTCTTCTGGCCACGGTAAAATGCGATATTGGTCGTCCAGTCACCTGTGTCGTGTGTCTAGCGATTTCTCCCGCTGTCTGCCGCCTGTTTCTTCTGGCCTGTAAGGAAATATACTGGTCATCTGTGGGTGTGGTTCCTCGTGGACGACCACTACTAAACCCCCGGATAGCTGTTCCTGTAGTTTGAAATTGTCTCCAAAGTCGTGAAACGATGCTGTGAGCAATTCCGAACTCTGCAGCCACACTTGTCACACTGCGGCCTTCCTCCAACTTCCCAATGATTCGACTTCGGGTAAAAGCATCCAGATGTCGTCTAACAGATTGATTATTCCCCATTTCTCGGTGAGGCAGCAACTCGGTGTGATTTTAACTGCTATACGGTGTGCAATCTCTTTGCCAGAAATACTGATCTTACACCGACAACATGCTTTATACTACTCAGACACTCCCCCATTACGTCTACCTGCATATCTGCGCATGTGCTACCGTACATCACCTTACTTAATCTCCCGATTGGTCTTTCTGTCCGCTCTGCCTCTTTGTTCAGCTGATATGCTAATTTTTCGACTTCGTCCTTAATTTTTGCATACCAGTGTACTCCAAGAATAATATGTTGACAATAATGAACTGCTTCAACTAGCTAGGACTATTTTATTTATGCACAGTTTCTGACTAGACAAGATTTTTATCATATATATGTGTAATGGAAACAAAACAAAAAGAGGGGGGGGCTTAATGTGGGACTTATTATAGAGTGAAACTTATCCTTTTCATGGACCTGAATATGCTTTTGGTATTTTCTAACTATTTTTACGTCCTGCCGAAAGGCTGTGAAGTATTTACATGTCAACTTATGAT